AAACAAGTAACAACTATCAATTATACAACACATATTGATTATTGATTAGTAAATTATTTTTTTAAAAATTGTTTCTCATTCAGATTTACAATATATTTCCCAACTATAGCATTTAAGATTGAGTAAACAAGATAAATATTTATCTTTATAATATATATATATTTATTTTGTTCGTGGGTCCGTGTGTGTCACTGAACTCCTCTTAAACGATTTGACCAATTGTGATGATATTTTTTGTGTATGTTTGGGTGGTTCTCTGGACGGTTAAGATTCACAATTATTGGACCCAATAGGTTTAACCCGTACAGGTGCTCAATCATTTGATTTTGAAATGTATTATGGGAACTGTTGCCTTTAAATGGTTGCTATTTGTTACAGGAGAAATAATTTGTACTTTTTTTTTTTTGATACGGTTGTCTTTAGTTACTCAGGTATATGAGGTAAAAGCATGCATCAAATTATCAAGTTTATGGTTTCGAATACAGAAATCACACCTTAAAACAAATATGACAGTTCAATGTATATTTGAAGCTATATATAGGTCCTCAAAAACTACTTAACCGATTTTGTGAACATTTCAAATTGTTCTTAGAATTATCAAGAAAGTTTAGAGAGTAGTTAGAACCACGTTTGATTTATACCAAGTACAATATCTAATCCATCAACGACGGATTGGCCATGTTGGTAGAATTAGTTCACAAAACTATTTAAACTGACTCAAATATTCCCGTGAACTGAAGTACACCTACACCTATATACACATACACCTACGCGTATTATATAGCATATATTTTGTATTTTTTAATTTTTTCAATTGTGATGTCGGTTTATACAACTAAAATTGGTTCATCCGAAGTTATAAGCCTCAAAAAACCACTGGACCGTTTTAAATAAAAGTTATATCAATAGATAATTTAAGAGTTGGAGGGTATTTATAGCTTATTTGTTCAACGATTATAGGATTGCTGATAGGTACATGATTTTTTCTTCAGATTGAAAAAAAAGAAAATTATTTGTTGTTTATCTTAATGCATGGTTGTAATTGGTTACATATTATATTACTATTATAATTAAATTAATATGGCATATACATTTATTAAAAATACAAATATTTAGTCCAGACAACATCGATTCATTAGATTTCTGACTTCTGATTTATTAGATTTATTACTTATTAGGTATATGTTTCCAATTTTCCACATTACTTAATATTATAATAATTTTCCATTTAAAATCCTTGAACATAATTTATACACTACATTACTACAATATATTTATGTACACATAGTTTATACTACAATATATCCTTAATGTGAACAAAATATTTTAATTGTTTACGATATACATTACGCATACGTGGTGTACCTAGTATATCTAATTAACTATTTTGTGCATTCATAAAATATTACTTTTTCGAGGGGACTTGTCATCCATCGACTTCCCCATCAGGGCAATAAATAATTACGAAAAAAAATAACTCTGCGAATTTCGAAATAGCTGTAAGTAAAAATGATGTAGGTACGTTTATCACTTGTTTACCTATTTGTATTTATAGTAATTTTATACTACGTACGTAAAACGTTGGATATCATTAATTATATCCACTGTATATTACAACATTAAGCACCACCAATATCAAACAACTTATCGTCATTAAAAAAAAATTACTTTCTAGAATGAAAATATATAAAAGCTGCAGTTGACCACTTATGTTTTGTATAGGTACCAAGTACCTATTAGTACCTTGGTAAATATTTTAAACAAATTTTCTTTGGTTATAAATATCTATTATTTTATATTGGTTTGATTTGATATGGTTTTTTACAACTAACTACTATTAGGTACATTGATATTGCATATTTAAAACTAATATAGAACCTATGATACCAATTGTTTATAAAAAGCTTTATTTTTTAAATCACTTATCAATATTCTTAACAGAAAACGCCTATTGGTTATTATATAAAATTTCAGTAGATCTGTAAACGTGTCGACCATAAAATATGTATTATACAGTTAATTTGATTTATTATATAATAGTTATAACTTATAATTTAGAAGTGTTTATTACAATTCATTAAATTTTAGCCATTTATAGGCAATGCCGGTGATTCCTAAAGTGTGAGCTGCAAGGTCTTTACAGGGGCGGCGCTGCGCTGCCGTAGAATATCATACTATTTCTTATGATTAGTCATGCAATGACTTAAAGAAGGGCCCCCTGTAAAACTCTTATCTCAAAAAGGGCTCCGCGAGCCAAAAGAAATTTAGAAACCACTGGCCTTTGCCCTACAGAGCAATACAATTAAATATTATCAACTGATAAAATATTCCACAGTCATTGTGAAATTCAAACTATATGGAATGTGTAATATTAGAAAAACGTTTGTACTATAACGATGCACTCAATTCTAAACTCAATTTGTATCTTATTCGTGGAAAAATCGCTGATTGTTCGAGCCTTTGATGATGGTCCAAAATCAATCAACCGGAATTTCAATAACAACAATAAGAAAATTAATAAAGTAAATTTTTCTTGGAAAATCAAAACAACTATAATCTATGTATAGTGTATATATTGGACATTATTTAGTTATAAATACGGTGGTCGTTATGTCCGCTCGCTGTCCTAGAATATATATATATAGTCATTGTACGAGCATAGGATATTGTTATATACACGGGGTCCATCCCTTCTGCAAGTTTAAGAGCGAAAAAACATTAAACCATATGTGTAATAGATTCTGGACGCGTTCGGGTTTCTTTTTTATGCGGCTCGGAAACGATAAAATGTATGAAAAATAAGAAATAATGGGGCATCAAAATCGAATTTCACTACCCACACGTGGCCCCGGAATACAAGTTCAATAACTTTTTGCGTATCAGCCATTATCCGTCTGGAAAAAATGTCATATTTCTCCTATATATAATACACAATGTTATACATAATATCTATAATAAATAGTGCACATTCGTTAGTACTGCGTCGGTGCAATAATTTTTCCGATTGCCGTTAGACCTCTGTGATTTCGACACACTCATTACTCAGAATAGTCAGACTACGTTCAGTTATATAGGGTTTTAGCCATAACATTAATCACGGACCATCGTCACTCGCGGGGATCTTCCCTGTTTATAATATTTTCTGTTAAACAGTTTTTATCTAATTCGTTGAAACAAATTACAGAAATGTAGGCTCAAATTTAGTCGACGTTAAAAATATTTATTCTGCCATCCTGGCCATCTATAGAGCCCATCCATATAACACGGAAGCCCGGATTAAGGTGAGTATAGTCAAATGTTATTTTATATCACGAAAAAATACTAAATTATAATAATAATTATAAAATTAATATTCTAATAATTGATAACAATAACATGATGATTACGTTTACAAAATGGGAGTTGTGAACTACATTGTACAAACAACAGATCATAGTCTTTATTATCTGTATGATTGTATGTGATAGCATAGTAAAAAATTATACAATATTGTATACAGTCGTAAACATGTATAGTGAATAGTGATACAATCCTTTTTGAGTTAATGTTGAAAGGGTAGGTACCCACAAATTGTATGGTGTCCCGTGGCCCAAGGACCCTTAATCCTTGGATACGACGATTATAATTTATGGTAGTCGTTTAGCAATGTTTTTAATCAGCCAAAAAACTGAAACTTTGATTCTCAATATATTATTGCCATTTTACAATTTATTTTGTTAATATATAGTATTCTAATGATGTAATCTTGTTTTACAATATTACACCAAATCCAGTAAGCCACCTCCCCCCCCCCCGAATTTTGATGCAGCAATTAATCCATAATAATGCTTTCAACGCGCCACTGCTGCAGGCTACACGTAGCTAATCATATTTATTTTTATCCCTTGAAACGTATCTTGACCCTGAATATAGCGATGATATTATTTGGAAATAAAATATGAGCTTAGGGTCCTGCAACGGATTTTGTTTGTATTGTGATTGAAATGATGTGATGGTATGTACACAATATATAATATTTTAAGATAATTTAATTTCCGGTTAATAATATTACTCGGGTACCTATATAATATTATATAATGTATTATAATATAACCCTATTGTTTCTCTCACTATCGCTCTTACGCAAACACAATTAATGTATCTATAGTGTTCCAAAACCTACTCTGTATTTACACATACACCAAGCTTTGTATACCAGAATATTGAATAATATTATTGTTAATGAAAATTCACCGAAAACGCCTTTATTATTGTTGTACATTGAGTATCTGAGTGTACCCATAACTGTAGGGGGGTACAACGTAATCATATTTACAGTGTTTACACACATACTGTCGTATTAACGTTTTGTTTACGAATTGTTCGTATGGGTGTGTGTGATGTTTTAAAAGTCAATATTAGCTGATCATTGTATAACTACATATTATACGGAGTATGAGAACCTAACACCAATTCAAGTTAACCTCGTAATTCAGCGACAAATTCCGTGGCATGGCGTCAAATCTTAGGTAGCCCGTAAATTGTCAATAAATAATCAATAACTAATATAAAAAAGCAAGTCATAACTTAATTAGATTTTTTTGTCCTACCTAGTTAATAATAATAAGTACACACACTCCACGTCATAAACATCTTCATTTCTGGTTGACAGGTCATCGATAACGGCGATAACACCATTAAAAGATTATCGAATTAACCACAATTTATAATTTTTTTATGGAAAAAAAAATAAAGATAACGTGTTAATTCATTTTTATGATTTACAGAGTAGCTTAACTCTGTTACCACAATACCTATACTTGATAGTGCGGTATACTGACTTAACGGAATTTCCACGAGTTCGTTTATTTTATGATCGAAAGTCCACGCAGGTCTTTCTTAATATTGCAATATTATGATATTGTTTTGGATTTAATCGCAATAATAATATTGTTCTTTCATTATAAAATACACATAGAAGCATAACAGTAGAATATAATATTATTATACACTCGTTTCAGGCAACACTTTCGTGGCGAACGTGGCGCTGGCCGACCTGTTGATCAGTGGTCTCGTCATTCCCGCATCCGCAGTGGTCATCCTGTCCGGTCTGCAGGATTCTCCGCCGGTGTGCCAGTTCCAGTGGTTCTTGTCAATCCTGTGCTGCCTGGTGACCGTGCTTACCATGGCCGCGGTGGCGGCCGAGAACTACATACGTCTCTGCCTGACGCCCGAATGTTACGCCAAACTAACTGTCACGAAAATCACCACGCTCCTGTTCGCCATATGGATCGTCAGCTCTATTCTGGTCACGTTACAATCTGTCTACAAGATGGGACCAGACTATTGCGCCAAGCGGGTAAGGCGAGTGCGTTTGTATAATATCATAATAAATAATAATAATATGTTGTGGACTTCGATGAACCTTAAAAATGTATAAAATTATAATTTATAAATATTATTGAATAATCACTGTTTCAGTATAAATGTCTATGTCTTAAGAGGACCAACACTGTAATTTATCGTCTGCTCCGTATTACAAGTGACTTGATGGCAGGAACTAGGAACAGTATCTATGTTTACATTTGAGTTTTTTACGATAGTTAATTTTTTTAGCAAGTTTTGCGTATATGATACAGTTTAGATTAAAAATGCTCGTAACTGACTTCAAAATTTAAGTATCGTAAAAAACTTAAGTGTAAACATAGATAACGTTTTTACCATCGAGTTTCGTAATAGGTCGATTCACTTAAATGTTTAAACTAATCAAGCTACACGTGATCTTCTGAGCGTAAATTTAGCATGTTCCACACAGTGTAAGACGGAGACAACAAATGCCAGTGTTAAGTCCCCTTAACAGCAATAAAGATCATAATTTGTATAATAATTAATATTGGATATTATAAGATTTTTGAGATACAATTTCATTACATTTTAAGATTTTTTGAGAAATAAAAGTTGGCGATGTTCACCATTCAGGTTTTCCATGGTTTCCTGATAAACGATATGCACGACTGTCTCCTTTATTACATATCTCTTCACCACACCCCCACGTGTGAAGGGCACATTGTATAATATGAAATATAGATACATTTAATAAAAACCTTTATATACTTTATTATATAACAAAATACTTGGGTATATATAAGCAATCATTGTCGAAATCCATCTCACGCGTCAACCCCTTTTTTCTATATTATGTAAGGTTATTTTCTCTGCGATGTCATATTTTTGACGAGAGGTCAACAGACGAACTCGGCGTTGAATTATATATTTGTGTTTCTGGTCGGCTCTTCCGAGAAAAGTAGACAGCACTCTGTTTGGAACGTTCTACATTATTTTCTATTTTGAAAATCTTCAGAATTCCTTATTGTACATAATAATATATTTGTACCCATAGCCTTTCATGTTACGAGAATTGTTTTAAATCGATGATAGTATACATTTTTTTTTATTACATTTTTGACGTACAAAAACATATTATAATAATAATAATAAACATTGATTCAACTTTATATTGTAATAAGTACACAACAAAGAGCATAACTATAATGCATTCAAAAGAAACTTGACGTTCGATAGAGAGAAAAAATGCAGTCACCCGCGAAAGCCTGCTGCAGTAATGGTACCATCCTATAGGTACCTATATATATAGTATAATATAATAGCAAAAATAACGATTCCTTTCCATTTTTAGACCTTTATCTAGTAGGTAGTCGTTTGACCTTTTAAGGTCGGAAAAGTTTTTTTTTTTCTATATCACTCCAATGCATCCTGTTTTTTTTCTCATTATTGGTGTCGGCGTTTGTACGAAGCATGTCGAAGACGCCGCCCTGATTATTATCGGCAGAGATTTTCTCTTTACGGCCGAGTCAACAGCAGTACAGAGTGAATGAGTGAGTGACACGACCGTCTGCGCCACAAGCGTATATTTCTAAATATCCGCAGCCATAGTGTACTGCCTATGTACTCTAATATACAATGTGTCCCGAGAGGATATACCCATTGCGATGTCTCCCGATTTAATAAATGTGTCATAAATCCTTTACTCTTTTTTACTTGACCTCACAGAAACAAGGACTATATATATTTTTTTTTATTTTTTTTTTTTGGTACAAAAATTAAGAAATTTATACTTAACAATTGAAACTATTCATTTTGCAAAGTTTATTTTACTGATAATTTTGACTTCTCATTATTTTTTATGATTTTTAATCATTTATTTTTTATTTATAATTTTAGGCACCAGTAAAAACTGTACGGCCTTAATAGCTTTTTTTTAATAATTGGCTTATTTAAAGAGATCGCCACTGCACAACAATAAACGAGAATCGCACATAGGTACACCGAATAATATGAAAATCATTATTTTCACTATCCATTAATCCCACACGTTCCCGATTGCCGTTAACTATTTTATAATATACAATGAGTAAATACTTACTATTATTATTATTATTATTATTATTATTATTATTATTATTATCCGCAATGCCGACGAAATATTTATTACGCTTTCGTATTTTTTTGTAAGCGTAAGGCTGATAAAGCTGGTTTCACTAGGGCGATTAAAAAAGCATTGAACTATAACGTTCGTCCCTTTCGCTCTCCGACCCTCCCCCTCTCCATCAACGTAGTTGTCGGCTGTCGCCTACAACACGTCTCGGTCGTATTAATTTTAATCAAAATGAAGGAGTAGGAGAAAATAAGGTTCAGACTTAATATTCAATTACACACTCCCGCGAGTCGCTCAAAACTTTGGTAATCTCGTTGTGACAGTGTGTATACCCATATCTATTATATTGGCAGACCGACGTCGCTTTGACAAAAACCTTTCCTATGACAATGCGATTATTCTCCAGATCGTTTGTTTTTCAGTAAACCCTTTCCCAATATCGAATCGTCTACACCAGACCAATATTAATAACACCAGCTCGCACGAGAGGACTTAGACTCGACGAGTAGACTAATAAATTACTAATTACATTATATAAATGGTGATTCACCAAGCATTTGCTCACCCCCGGGAACCCCCTCCCTTTATTTATTTATTTATTATTGTAGATTACTGTACGTTTTGTTTGTGTTCGAATTACAAACACTATTATGATGAAAATTATAAAGTCCCTAATTTTGTTTATAAAATTCGTTTAATTTATAGAAATTCGACAAAAAAAAATGGTTATACTAAAGTCATACGGGTGTACGATGAAATCTTAGAAATATTAAGCATAAATTACGTAAGCACATGATATATATCTAGCTCTATTCCAAGCTCATATTTTTCGTTTTTTAATATTTATCTTTGGAAGATATACCTAACTCATTATTATACGCATAGTATAAAGATAATATGAGACATTTAAAATCTCGGTTGGCCAAAAAGTTCCAACCCGGCTCTACATGTATGAATTCCATATTATTAACGTGCACATGCACATTCTTATATACCTACCTTAAGTTTCTTAGCGCATTCATTTTACTTCAACTCTACAGATCATACATACTATTCCATGCGGTTTTATCGACGTTTCCGTGCTAATCTTGCAGACGGTTTTTGTCGATATGGTTAGGTATATGTATAATGCGTGTAATAGTACATAATATATGATATATGTCACACGCAGACGTGCGCAAGACGGCTAAGAGGTTTTAAACGAGCGGATGTAATATTACGCGGAACGATGCTCGCGCGCGTGTATGTTACAAATTCAATAATGATAATAATATACAATATGGAGGTTACCTATATAACTTGTATTTTCCTAGAGGGTACAGATTCCAGACTAGCCACCTATATAGAATTTACTAATTTTCGTGACAAAGCGACAATCGAAGCTGACTCAACGGCGTGCATATTATACAGGTTATCTATATAAGATACCAGTCGTAAGCTCCAGGGGGACGAGTTCCGAGGTGATAATAATAATATTATGTGTGTACGTGTCAGGGTTAAGTCAGTCGCTTCATATCACATGGTCTGTCAAGTAGGTGCAAATAGAACGCAAAACGCAATATAATATAGTATATTAACTATATATATTATATAGGTCAGCAGACAATTATTACTGTTACCAATATATATGAACCATACATAGTTATATCGCACAGTTAAGCATTATTATGTTATCTATGACCGGCAGCCTACGGTTTTTATTACACCCAAGCGCTTGATTCTGTAATAATGTAATATAAAATCATTAAAAAAAACTGTCACTTTTTAAGTGTCTATAATATATATAGATAATAATAGTATAAAATATAATATATTATATAAACATTACCGACTTATTCTCCAGCAATTCCAGAGGTTATGGGGTTTAATTTTATATTTTATTACCAAAAATGTGGTATATAATATTACCCCAGAGTCCAGAGGTCTATATATACTTTATATACACATGACAGTAACGTATGGATTTCAAATCCATAGAATTCCATCCCCAAACTCGTCCTGCTGTATCTCGCTTTCATTTTTTCGATAACGGTATGACGACGTTCAGTGCGGTTTTAGTAGAAAAAATATATATATCATCTTAGACGTAAAGAAACACGTGGGGAGACAACACAATAAGTTGGTTAGAATGCACTGAAAGAAGTTTTAAATTTCAAAATATTAGTAGATGAGCTCACTTCACTGTCCAGTGCCACTAAAAGCGCGCACACTATAGTTGTTTAACACAAAATTTAATGGTTTATGCCTGAATTTTGTTGTAAGACATTTTTGTTTTTTATAATTAAAACTGAGTGACGAAAAAAGTCGTTTAGTATAGGAACGATGGAAAACGAACTATTATAATTCATAAACCTGACACCGGAAATTAACTGAGGTCTTATTTTTATGAGGCGAACGTGAACGTGAATTTTTAATACTTTATAATCAGCCAGACAGCCGTTACTATTTGAGTGCGTACGCAATACGAAAATGCCATCGGGTAATAGTTAAAATGTAAAAAGTGTAAAATTGCATGAACGCGGTCAAATTTCCCAAATTTAAAGTGCATTTTACTTCTTCTTCATAACTTCCTCTCGCAGTCTCGCCCCACCAACACTACGAATTTGACTAACCTAAAGAAACGGTCGTCTTTCAAAGAGGAGGTGTCACCCTCATGTATTGTCACAGTCTAAAAATCGCGCTCAGCCGTACAACTTCTGTGTTATTACCTTTAATATTTTAATGTGAATTGATGATCGAATTAACCGATTTGTCATCAAACTAAAAAAGGTATACAAAAATATCATTGGTAGGATCGTAATCTCAAATCTTTGTTTGTTGAGGTATATTCGTTTTTTACACATTTTTAAGCGAGCGCCTATCTATTACATAAGATATTTCAATTTAAAAGTGCTTGAATTTTCGTAAAAAAAAAAACAAAGTATACAAACGCAGATAGTATTTGTATTGCCTTCAATAGTTATACAGTTATATGTTATCAACGCACTCTAAAGGTATTAGAATAATAACGCTTACAACTCGTAATTTGTTCTGCAAAACCCAAATTTGCCATTTCGATCTCATACCGCGTGACACGTTTGAACGAGACGAGTCCTCTTCACAATAATAATAATTATTATTATAATTAGACCAAGAAGTATATCCTCATTATAAGTGTCTACAAATACAATAGCATTATACACACACCGACCGCGGACGACAGTATAAAATGAATTATTGTGCACAAAACGTGCGAGTTTTACCTCCGCAAACGCGTTTATATAATTACATACTGCCGTGTTGCAGGTGAGCAGCATCGTTCCGACTCAGGCGCTGGCGGCCGGTGCCATTGTGCTGGGGCCGCTGCTCATCACGGCCGGGCTGTACCTGCGCATCACGTACCAGGTGCACGTGGCCCGGCTGAACCCGAGCTTCAAACCGCCGCTGGCGTTCAACTGGGACTACTCGCTGATGCTGGCCAACGCCTATAGCTTCGTCATGTTCGTCGTGTTCTGGGCGCCGTTCGCCATCGTCCTGGCGCTGGCCAGCGTCCAGCGGCTGTCCGCGCAGGTGTTCTACAACCTCGCGTGGCTGGCCCTCAGCAAGTCATGCTTCAACAACCTGGTGTACTGCGCCGGCAACCGGCACTTCCGCAACGCGTACGTCAACCTGTTCCACTACTGCTGCTGCAAGACGACGGTGACGTTCTCGCGACGGGCCCGCGACGGCGCCAGCCGCCCGTCCGGCGACGTCCGCGTCCACATCATACCCGGCTACAACATGTACTCGTACACCAGCCCCACCAGGTCGCGGGAGTCGGGGTCGTGTCCGCTGCAGGGCCGGCCGCGGGCCAGGGCCAACGGCGGCGGCAGCGGCCTCGGCGGCGGCGGTGGTGGCGGCGGTGGCGGCGGCGGCGGTCGCGACGTGTACGAGCTGTAAGCTGTACGATGATGATGATATTATATAATTATATTATATAATTATTGTACTTGTCCGGCGCTTATACCTTCGCCCCGAACACGCATTAGACGACAACGTTATTATTATTATTTATTAATTATTAATTATTATTATTATTACCTAAGTGTGCGATTTTTTTATATGATAATATTATTATATATTATGCGCACGAGTTTTTCTTCCCTCGTATTATATATATATATATATGTGTGTGTGTGTAGGTACACACATATACATATGCACATACACGACATTATATATGTACCTACCCTTAGAAAAACCGCGTTTGTACCATTTATATACACGCGTTACCATACTCACATTACCGCCTAAAACTATGTATTATGTAGGTAATATAGTATAGCTAATATATTGTTGCCCTTACCTATATAGTATATAGTCACCGCCGCCGCCAAAGTTCGTAATATTGACGTTAAGGTAGAAAATAAGTTTTCGATTTGTCGCGTGTGTATTATAGGTATTATAAAAAAAAGAAATCTCATATTATCGATTCGTACGATATGATAATAATAATAATAGTATATTATTATAGTCGGGGTACGGCCATACTGCGGTTGGGAAAGTAGAGCGACGAGGGTACACGCGCTAATGTGTTAACTGCATATAAACGTCATATATTACTACCTTTTTGATATTGCGCAGCCGCCAACGTGGACGAACAGGATACTTTGACCGATTAATCCCTCAGTCGGACAAAATATACTACAGTGAAACCCCTAAATACAGGACACTTTCGTTAGCTGAAATTTCGTCCGCTGTTCACTGTATGAGAGTTTAGTGCGTAGTTTGTTGCTGCCGAAACAAAAAAAAAAACGTTCGCTATTTGAAAGTGTCCGCGGTTAGGGGAGGTTTCACTGTATCACATAACGATAGACAAGCCCTCCGATCTTTCGGCCCCTTCCATTTTCTGCCGATCGTCTACTGCGGCAACGTTACGATATCGAAATACGCTGCACCAGCCGCTTTCGTGTGTGTAGGTAATGTGTAATAATAAATAATTTTATTCTCAGGTCGACCTGTACTCGAAGTGTAAAACGCGAGCGGTAAGCAGCAGGGTCGGGTCGCTGGATGGGGGGGGGGGGAGAGGGACGACACAAAAATAGAGCCATCCGTCATCGAGCAAAACGGTGCGCATAACACGCCGCCGCACGTGTCAATACGACGTCATAATTGTATACGCTCGTATAGTAATAACGACGGCGGCAATAATGTGCAACGCGGCTCGATAAAGATGACTCTCGACGACCATAATAATAATAATAATAATAACACATACCTACCTACGGTTTGGCTCGGTCGTCCGGAGAGACTCACACTTTGGTGAAACACGAGACTCGAGGCGACGGATTTAGAATTTTATATTTTTTTTTCTCCCCGCAAGTGTTATCGCAGTACAGAGCTGGTATGCATTTATTTAGATCCTAAACAATAAGGCAGCGGCGGCGGCGGCGGCGGCGGCAGCGATGACGACTGACGCGGCTGCAAAAGACTTTTTCCGTTGAGTTTTTAACATAATTTTTTGTCAATCCCTCCTCCACTCATCCCGCACTCTACAGCCGAAGTACACTCGCACTCGTTCCTCGTAATAATCCGTCAAAATAATCACCACGTGGTGGATAAGGGGGTGGGGGGAGGGTTGAAAATTGAATTTAAGTGCACGATCTAAAGTGCGCGCCGAGCTCGCCGTCTCGCTGCGACAGCATATATCTTTGGGCGTCATGAGCATATTAGACGAACGAAGTTAATAACGCAATAATATACTAGTAAACGACCTGATCACTGTTATCTACAGGTGGTCCTGGTCCGACTACCGAGTCGTACTCGCAGCTATATACAATTACGTCGAATATATATCCTAGTATATTTTGTTTTATTTTTCAATATTTATCCCCCCGCCCACCCGTACTTACATTCCGACGCGGAACTCGCCCGCGGTGCTCCGCGTATATACAGGAAACCAATTGCATTCCATCTTTGATTTATAATATTATATTATATATAAGCATGTATATATAGTATATAAATATAATATATATGTTATATACTATACCCGTCCACTGTCCCGAGCCAAACAAGCGTTGTCAATTATATTATATGTATATACTATATATTATTATTTATTAAACTATTTATAGCCCATATGGCACGTCTTATACATATATATATTTAGGTACAGTTACTACTACTGCAACTCTGTAAGTAAACAGCGCAATTTGTTTGTTTCGTATCGGCGGCGACATTTTATTAAACGTTTTGAAATTTAAAAAAAAAAAACTAAAAATGGATAGTACTAATAACATTATAATACAGAATAGCAAAATAATATAATATATGTATTATTAGTATTCGGTTACAGTTATAATATGTACTTTCGATTAAATGGAGTGCGATAATATGCCGTCGTCGTTTCGATTGTAGTCTTCAAAACAAAGTAATATTATATTTCAATGTTTGGTAAATGCCAAATGGTATATAAGTAAACGTTAGTATTTTTTATTATTATTGTTGTTGTTCTAGCTTATAAGTGTTGCACGTCCATAATACCCGATGTTCATTAATAAACAATATGTTTGTGCTTAAATCGAAATTTTTTCATTAAAACTATATTCAAAGTTAAAATGTAGATAGTTTAATATTAATTGTATTATTTATATGTTAGATGAGTTCGTGTGATTGACGTTTCACTCACAGTTACACCAGCTGACACCATCAGTTCGCGATCGGTGGTCAATTTTGTAAGATTCGGACCCACGGCCTATACGTGTTACAATATTATATGCGCTCGACAACATAAATGCGCAAGTCGGTCGGTTTAAATTGAAGTATTGTGGCTTAGAAGCGTGTGTGTGTACGCGAGTTCCAGCAGATTCAACAGTGAAAAATACAATTTGAAAATAAATCCCAAAACTACTTTATCGCATTTCTTCCACGCAAACCACCCCCCGTCGTCCATGTAAAACGCATTGTAGCAGTAAAACAACCGTGTGTTAATTTTATTATTATTATAATATGTATTAAATGTTCGTTTATAGTAATATCATAACTTATAACAGTGTCGCTAATACATTAATGAATTAAATTTAAATTTTGGATTTAGGGACCACCCGCTACCACTGTACAGAGGATTTCATACCTATACAAATGTTTGGTACTCACGCCCTTTAATGAGTGTGATCAGTAGTCGCTGTAATATATTTTTTCGATTTCGACTGACCTACTGGTATTAATTTTGAATTGCTTTAATATTTGTGTTCGAAATTTCCGCACACATAAAGCCACGATTTTACGAAAACAATAGGGGCTCGACTCCCACCGATGCAAATATACCGCAACGTTTCATTTGTTCATATTCATATAATATAATATGAATGTTATTCAAATCGTTATAAACGACAAAATTTCAGACTATACATTATGTATAGGTACCAATGTACCATTCATATTTATATATTATGTTATATACATAAATAATATTATCCAGTACCTATTAAATATAAATATGTATAACATATATATACTTTATAGGTAGGTAGTAGGTATATAATATGTACACTCGGAAATGTCATGGTAATAATAATTAACATAAAAACCTGAAACACAAAAGGCTCTTGTTCACAACTATTATTCCTATTCCCGGTATTATTCTGGATACTCGACGTAGGTATATATTATAATATTGTTTTATGGTGGTTTTGATTGTTCTCTTTGACTGCGATAATTGCTATTCGTCAAATGGTTGTTTTTTCTTCAATAATTATCCGCAATATAATACATCACACCGGCACACCGCACTCGACGCGATAAGGTTTTTTTGTTTTTTAGGTATTTCTTTTTGTTTTTTTTTTTTGAATTTAAATAGAATACAAAATATGTTCACGAACTCACGTCTTCTACAAGTATCTGGAATTGTCGACGACTGGTAGAAACGCATATGATTTGATCGTAGAAAAAAATCAAGAATTCGTATAAAAAATATATGTTAACGAGCAGCACTTTTAATAAATTACTTTTGTATTACCATTGCCACCTCGGTCGTATACAGTTCGCAAAGTAGGAAAATAGGTTTGATTGAGGTTTTTCTGATTGATATAAAAACTCACTAAAATTATTTTCTGTTTCTTCGATTTTCTCTTTCGAAAATAGGGACTAAGTATCGTCAAAAATGCCTGACCGCGGTAGCATGGTTACCTAGATTAATAACTTATACCTACATCGTTTCACAACATTTAAAAAAATAACAGTTATAGGTAACTGTATATATGATTGGCGCCTGGTAGCGCATAAATTATAAACATAAGTAGATAGGTATGAAGTTTGAGGCACGAACCTAATAAAGTAATCATTCATTATAATAAGTAATAAATATTGTACGTTGCTATTATTTCTGTGAAATTTTTTTACCTGCAGAGGTACCTACTTCTCTACTCTGCCAAAACTTTTGAAGCCACGTCCATTTTAAAACAATAATGGTTGACGTACTTTTAACGCACATAACTCGAGTTGTGGTTTAAACAATCGAAGTTCTTACTATTTTATCTCCTAACTCATATTTTACGTTTTATGAGTTGCAGCTATAGTTTACATTATTATAGCATATTATCACTTTTAAATGCACAACTTATCGTCGTCAAACTTTGAAAACAACACTTATTATGTGTATCTGCGCTGGGAACCTATTATCTAAATATGGAGACCTCCTTGGCTTCTTATATACAAGTGACACTTATTAAAGCATAATATGTGAAGATGACTCGAAATGACAAATTATATGGATTTTACAGTGTCGTTCAGAATTCACATACCTATTACCTACTATAGAGAACTGAAGTGACAAGCATTATTGTATTTAAAAACTGAGTCTATATAATAATAATAATACCTATACCTACCTACCTACCTACCTACTACCATTGAGTGTATATTGTATTTATAAGCAATAGTGCAATACATACTCAATGCTCCTACCTACCACATACGTCTATGGTCTATAGTCTATTGAACAAAAGTAATAAAAAAAAATAAATACGTGTACAGTTGTACAGGTGCATATTTTGTATTTGAACAGTTTTAGGTCAACTGAATGGAAATATAGCTACATATGTTTAGTGAGTTCCGTTATAATATATTTGGAGAAACTTTTTATTTTTTAAAGCCATAATAATTGATTGTCCAACACTACTCAGAGCTGGTTTCGTGTAATCTGCGTTACTAATAAGTTACGTAAATAGGTACAGATCCATTATAAATAAATATATTATATAAATTGTGTGTAAATATGCAAGACACTGGGAAAACATGAGTATACCAAAGACATATGAGATCAAATTGTTATGTTTTTAGAAGGTTATTTATTATAAAAACATAATGTAAAAATACTGTAAAAAATTGTGAACAAAATGTCTTCAAATATATTTTTTTATTTATATACCTACCTACCTAACTACTTATACACTATTAGTATTTTTACCAACTATAGTAGGTACTTATATAAATCATACGTATATATATCCAATACCATCAGTTGTGTTATTGAGTTAGGCAACAAAATTAAATTATGTACTTACTTTTATTTGTGTGTGTGTTGTAAAAATTAAGAATATCGCAGACAACATGCTGCGATCAGCGGTTAATTGTACAGTACCTAGTATCTTTAACATACAATAATATTATATTTATGTATGATGACTATATACCTATTATAATATTATATAAATAAGATTTATAACATAAATATTGTCGTAACTAATTATACTATACAAGCGCATATTATAATATTTAAAATGATTTTACCTATTATTATTATTATCATTATATTATTATAAAACATTTTATTAATTAAAAATCTTACCTACCTATCTATGAAATTACTATGTATTGCTGTATGACTTATAAAAATAATCGTATAATATTATATATAGTGTGTTTATAAAGTAAGTATCTACATCATACATAGGTTGGTGTACCTACTTCGTACTTATATTTAACTTGGTACCTATTATATTGACACATAATATGTTTATATGTTTATTTGGTAGGTACCTACTATTAACTATTATTGTTTAAATATTTAAGTTTTAGCGCATGCATAATACAAACGACCTATTTTCAGGAGGGGTTTCTTAAATAGCCTATCAATATAATAATAAAACAACCAGTCTAAGACTACATTTTGTGTCAATTTTATTTTGATTTTTATAGCAGGTAATTTTTGAAAATGTAATTGAAACATAAATTATTAGGTACATATATATATAAAATATATAGACCTCACCAATTATACATATATTGCGTTGGTTCGTTTCAAAGTTTAACAATACCTATGCATTATTTTAAAATATTAAATGTACCTATGCTTTTTGGGTGAATCCTCTAGTGTACTTACCAATAATAATTGACTTGGTTGATAGTTGATACTTATTTTTCTTTTCCCGATAGGTGCCTACATTATTCAATTTCACTTGCAACGATTAATATCAATATATCATATTATATGCATCTATCGCTCTAATTTCACAATTATTTAACATTTTAAAATATGTAATTCAAATTTAATTTTTTACATATCATTTGCGTTCAGATTTACTCGCGACAGGTTACATTTTGTCTTGTAATAACGGAATAATATATGTATACGTATTAAACGCCGTTAGCAAAAAAAAATCTCGTGAAACAATAAAGGGACCACAATATTTTTTCTACTGGCAATTTTCAACAACAGGTTAACAAGGCCTTGAAAAATTGTTTAAAAAAAAAATTATTCATTTTGAAAATTGAAAGTTATACCTGTATTGTAAATCTAAATCTGTGATACAATAGAAAGGGACGATTTTTGAAATTGACAACTTTGCTTTAAAAGGGTAATTATTTTTAATGATTTAATTTCTTAGACTTTTAACGTCATGCTGTCCAACACATAAAAATGTTTTGCAAAAAACACATTTGTTTCGCTCAAACATCGTACTATTCACTATTAAAAAGTCATTGACAATTAGGTATATTTAGTTATTCTAATAGTATAATGGCACCTAACATGCATCAGCATCACAGTAAGAAAATAAAATAAAACTGAATAGGTACCAACTAAGAAATAGCTAACACACTTGATTTTGAAATAATCACAAGCCATACTTCTACAGTCCCATAAGCTAATAAGTAATAACTTGAGTTCAAAATTATTAAATCATATTTAAAGCTATGGATGTCAACGCACATTTAAAACAAGAACATTTAAATTATATTTCAATAAAACTGTGATTCAGTACATATAATCTGTATAAATGTTTTATATCATTTTTCAATATTATATATTTTGTTTTTTATTAGGTAGGTGTTATAATAATAATTATTATTATAAATTTATGTCTTTCCACATAGAAAAACATTTTTATTTCTGTACTTAAAATATAGCTCGTAATGTTTAAATTTTTTGTATGTCAATAATGCATATTATAGCTGTAAGCAGAAACAAAACAAAAAAAAAATTGTAATTTTATACTTAATATTTTGTGTGCATAGAATTTGAAGTAAACAAAAAAAGTAATATAAGAAAACCATTGACTATTTCACCTATGACCTATATACATAGGTACAACATTATATTATAACAATAATTAATATCCTAAAATAAGGTGCTTTTTTGTGTACAACTAAAATTATGCCTGTTTAAAATTAATCCATAATAATACAGATATTTAAATGTTTGATTTGCCTTTTATTTTTATTTTGAACCTGGGCTTCAAATCAGTTTTTATAAGTCCACCTTACTTCATAAGTAGCTGGGTAAACCTTGGTTTTAAGGGAGCCCACATTGGGTGGTAGGGGAGAGAACTCCCCCTAGCTTCCCTGCTAGTCAAAATAATTATAGCCAAATTAAATATCTAGAAATCCCAAAAATCATTAATGGTACCAAGGTGTATTGATATTCTGTTATAGTCGGTAAACATACTTCATGATAATAGAATTTTGTGTTGAAAATAGTTTTTTGAAATGGTTTGGTTTTCATCTAAACAGTTTATTTAATTTTAAAATCTATTTTCAACTGATTTTTATGTATTCGGTTTCAATTGCAGTTAGAAAATGAAAAAACTTAAGTCTTACCTGACTGGGTTTAAAAAATTTCCAAAAACTGACATTAAGCCTTGTTTTGAACCAATATTGATGTTAAACAGTGTATTGTAAAATTATTCTACTTATGTACAGGATGGATAATTTAATATGAACAAAATACTACTTAGTATAGACGGCTTAAATTGATACAAAGTACATAGCTGATACCCACATAAATGTTCATAACATTAAAGTAAATAAAATATTAATAGTAGGAATAGAGTTGGATAATATTGTACATAGGTTTCAGAAGGTGCATTTCTAAATATGTACGGTTAAAAGGTACAAGTTAAAAACATATGTCAGATAAATGGTGGCTGTAATGTTAAATTTATAATTTTAATTTTTAAATACAAGTTTTAAGATAAAATCTTATAAATTATAGTAAGTACCAATACAATTATTGCATATCTTAATAATTAAATAAATAAATAAAAATATCATTATTTAATAGTTATTTGGTAGTTGTTAATTTTCAAACAATGAAAATTATGAACTTAAAGTTCAAACAATATTGTAAAATTTGCAGAACTTTTTGCTTAAGACATACATTTTATTTCAATTCTATATTCACTGACTGAAGTGCATCAAGACACCACTGTGGAAAATTCTTATCTGGATACATATTTGTCATAAATTCCTGGACAAATTCTGGAAATTTGTTTACCTTGATACTTTCTCTAATACCTTTCATCAATTGCATTTGATAATTAAGATTATGTACCGATAATAAACTGCAAGAAACAGCTTCTGTACTGACAATCTGATGTAGATATGATCGAGTATATGTCTTACAGGTTGAACAGCAACAATTTTTTTCAATTGGTCCAAAATCCATTCTGAACTTTTTTTGTCTTAAACTAATTTGACCACTTGAAATTAAAGCACAACCAAACCGAGCTGTTCTTGTCGGAAATACACAGTCAAACATGTCTGCTCCTAAAGCGCAACAAATTACTAAATCCACTGCAAATCCAACTCCCATTACATACTTAGGTTTATCACAAGGTAGTATATTAGTAGATAGAAGAACCATTCTCCAAAAATCTTTTTTTTCTTCCCCACCAACGAGACCACCTATAGCATAACCGTTCACTTTTCTTTCCAAATGTAAATTGGCACTTAACCTTCTTAGATCATCAACAAGACCCCCTTGAACAATTGGAAATATATTCTGTTCATTAGGTCTTTCGTGAGCACTTAAACAACGATCTAACCAACGTGTAGTCCTGTATGTAGCTTCTTCCATTCTTTCGCTGTCTTTTGAAGTAGTAGGTACGACATCATCTAACTGCATTATTATATCTGCACCAATTGCATTCTGTATTTGAATAGACTTCTCAGGAGTTAACAAGCTTTGTGTACCGTCATAAGGTGATTCAAAACTAACACCCTGTTCATCAATTTCAGCCATATGTAACAATGAGACCATTTGAAAGCCTCCAGAATCAGTAAGTAAAGCTCGTTTCCAACCCATAAAATTATGAAGGCCTTTTGCTTTTTTTAATAATTCAACTCCAGGACGTAATCCCAAGTGGTATGTGTTTCCTAGAATAATTTGACAGTTAATATCTTCCAACTGCTCTGGTAAAACAGATTTAACTGATCCTTTGGTACCAACAGGCATAAACACTGGCGTTTCCACTGTATAATGTGGTAATTTCATTAAACTAGTACGAGCTTTTGAAGAAGAGCAGGTGGCGATCACATCAAATTGCAAGGATTTTTCCATCTTAATATTTTGTCTTATAAGTTTAGGCTTGAACCTATTCAAATAAATTCCTGAAAGAAAAAAATTACGATGAACATTATTAATAAATTCAAATATTGTGATTGGTATGTCAAATGACTTACAAATATTTGTATAACAATAAAATCTAATAAGCATTATAATATAATAAAAAAAAATATTATTATTATAAAACGTACATTATTTTAAATTTAATATATGTTATAAGTTAATATAAAATACATTAGTAGTACATGAGGTATCACAATGTATTAACTATAATAATATATACATATGTATTTATAACATAATATCATTGATTAGATATACAATATTTTACATTAATAAATATTTACAATATTAACAATTTTAAATCTCTGTATTCAACCAATAATACTATGATCAATCACTAAATTATTACAGAACAAATATCAATACATAATGCACAAAACATTAATATTTTTACTATTTACCAGGGGCACCCCTACAAAAATAAGTTTAACTGGTGCAACACAAAAGGTACATTTTAAATTTATTTTTTGAAAATGTTTTGAAAGGCGCTTACTCTGAAAGTGTAATAAAATTGATTTTTTCAAAATAAAAGTATTCTCAATAAAATTTCAAAATAATTTTTTCCCTTGTAAATAAATTTGTGTATTTATTTTAGTTTGTATAACTATGTTTTATTCTTAAATAATTTATTAAATAAATGATAAAATCCCCTATCCTCACATAAATAATTCAGTAAGTACTGATGATGATCATTTAATTGTTCCAACATATTCAGCATAGAAACAAAACATACCTACTAATAATCATAAAAAACCCAAAATAGTAATTTTTTGACATTTGTATTAAGACGGCTTAACTACCAAAATTTTTAAAAATCCACTTTCCAGTTTTTTTGGTAAAACTTCCAATGTAAAGAATGGCAACATTTTTTAAAAGGACCATATAGTATAACTGTATTTATACTGAAAATAGTTAGTGTAGAAAAAACCTAATATTCAGAAATAGTTACCTGTAGTTCTTCAAAAATAAGATAGAAAGAAAAGAAGAGAAAAGTGATTTACTGTTTTTAAAATTTTAAAGATCATTGTGTATTGTATTTTTGTAAATTTACATATACCTACAACAATAACATTTTTTAAGCTCCAGTGGGTACTGGGTGCATCGTGCATTGGCACTCACTGAACACTACATACCCTTGGTTTCTATTGATATTATATTTTTTTTTTAAAGATCAACATATAATGTTATAACTATAGAACTCTGGAAGTATTTTATCTATAGGTGATTTCTTAACTTTCAAACTAAAATAGATTGCATAAAAAATCATAAAATCTAAGTGAAATATGGTAAAAACATTTGTTTTTGATTTGGTTTTAAAATATGAGAGTATATTTTCAAAATGTTAATGATAATAAAGTCAAAGTCAGACACATTGTGATTCTCACTTTCTAGCAAATAAGTAATAATTATTAATTATTGCTTTTCATAAACAGTAAAATTGTTAGTTAGTTTTATTCCAAAAGTTAAACAATACATTACAATTGATTGTCTACTCATGTACACATGGAATCGATCATCAATCATAACAGTGGTAGGTACTTTTTAATTAGACTCCTAAAAACTAATTTACCAAACAGCCTTAATTATTAACATTAATGTATAATTTAAAGATATTTTAACAAAAAAATACTTACATATGCAACCAAATTAAAGTTTGTTAGTAAACCAGTGGGTACAGAAAAACAATTCAATAATTATTCATAATTATTATGAAATGTTTTCATCAAATAGAGTTTAAAATACACAACATGTAAATTAAAGTTTACGTTGTAACAAAAAATGAGAAGTAATGAATTTAAAAAATATATTTTAAACGTCTTTTTTACTTTCTTCTCCGGTTGCCCAACAGTTCATATTATGAGTATTTCTTATCACTTATCAGTAAACAACAATATTGATTAAAGTTATCGGTACTTGGATACCGATAACCGTGCAATGTGCATGGAAACCACGTGCGACGTTACCAGTTCTGAATGGGCCATCAATCATTATAATAATATGGCCCTCGGTATCGGGGCTAAGGTGGTTAAGTTAATTTTATAGAAAATAGAATATAGATCATCTACATGGTTTTTATTATTATTGCGTGTATTCAAGTTTTATTTATTATAATATCACAATGTAGACAATATCTGGTTTCTTAAAAATTTGTGTTGATGTTATTTTTTAAATTTATCTATTTGGCTCTGTAATAACTAATAAATGAGACTAAATAATATAATATCCTAAAAACTGCTACGAATGTTTCAACTATAGCACGGACTGGACGAGCCCACGGCCTGCTACATTACATCGATAATTGGATAATTGATTTTCGTAATTTCGTATGACAATTTCGACAATACGTGATTACACGTATTTATGAATTATAATCCGCTTCCACTGGCGGGCCATTTTTTAAGTAGTTAAATTTAACTCTAATTGTAATTTAGAACTATTTAGATTATATTTTAGTAACAATTTTTCATTGTATTATGATATAAAAAAAAAAAATTATTATTATTACTTTTAGGTTCAGGATGTAGATATAATATATTGTAGTATCTACATCGTAGTTTGGTCGATTAATTTACATTTTCCTGAAGTGCACACACTGATTCTTATCACGTGCTTTTTGTTTATTATTATTTATTCGATAACTACTGTTTGTTGTATTCGTATTTTGTTGAATCAGTGCATTTAGAATTTCAGCGGCAATTACTGCACTATCAATATTAAATATTAATTGTCAAATAGTAAATTGCCATACACTTTTACAGGCTACTTATATTTCGGAGCAAAAGTTAATTGTTTAATTCAATAACTGTTGATAGAACAGAACGAAATTAATTATGTCTCCAAAGTAAGTATAAGACATCATACACTATGTAACAAGTGTATTTATTTGTAAACCATAGGAAGAATATTGGTCGAATCTTTTGTCTTTTATCTTTTTTTGCTAATAATTTGGCATGCGTTCTATTAGGTTTATCTATTATAAAATCAATTTCTCTACAAACATGTTTCTGATTCGGTGTGTGTTCTGCGTGTGTCGTTTTAATTGCGTTTTATTTTATTGCTCATTCATGCTCTGAATCTTCCAACATGAGATAAAGGTCAGGATTGTTGATAGTAAAGATACCGTACTATAGTGATCTAGATGGGACTGCAAATTAATAAGAAAAACACTCTTCGTTTTCTTCAATAATTTAATTTTCGTCGTCCAAACATGACCTCTCATATTTTGTGTGTGGTCTCTTGTATTTGCATTGGCATAATAAGGTATACGGTGATTTACCCTCTTGTGTACAAAACCTTGGTTTGTGAGGTACCCATATGTAGGCCTTTTATCAGAATGAATTTCTGATTCTGCCACGCAACAACCACTGTTAAACTTATATAACATACAGTGAAATAATTAACGAATATAAAAAGTCATAATAAATAAAATTAACATAAATGATAATACAATTTGAAGAAATGCCCAATTTATATTATAAATGATGACAGATAACGCATGAGAAATACAGTTGTTTGATATCCTTGTACCAAACATGGAGCGAGTGCAGAACGGTTAATTCTCTAGAACGTACACCAAATTAGAAGGGTTTTGTTTAGAGTGTAGCTAGCATTATTCAAAGTAAAGTGTCACATGCATGCCTAAAGCTCTATATCTATTTAGAATTTAGTTGATATCGAAATGTATGCTTGACTTGGCTCCCCAAAGCTTCCCACTGATTATTGCCAATGTGTGTAATATACACCAATATTCATGTATAGTGTACACCAATTTGTCATATTGAAATTTATGTCTACTGTTGAACAGTTAAAATCTATATTGACATGATTACATTTTATTTGTTTGTATTAAAGGAAACGACGTGGAGGGTCAAGAGGTCGTGGTAGAGGCATATCGAAAAGAAGAGGTCCAAAACCACGTCAACCTATGTCTCCAGACACTGCTACAGCAGATGATACTGATGCTGAGGGTACGTCCACAGATGGTAATGTGTCTTTCAAACAGGTTATGTCACCACCACAGTCACCGACTAGAAAAAAACATGTTGAATACAACGAAGAAAGAGAGCTGTCTTTACCACGACTAAAACCTACTGTCATTCCAGAAAATTCTACCTTCCTGTCATGTAAAAACAAAATTATGGAATTTTTGATGTTCTTGTTGGTATCTTATAAAGATTTTTATTGTTTTAGTGCTGAGCCGTGATAATAAATCTGATTATATAATGACGGACGATGAATTGGACCATATTCAATGGGATCTTGAAGCAATGTTAACAAATGTAATCATACGCAGAAATACAATAAGAGAGGAATTAAGCACTTTTGCATCCATGCAGTTTGCTCGTTCCTTACATAGAATGGCTAAAAACCCCAAACTTCCTACAATTGTAAGTCTATGTGGTATGAAAATAGTATTAATTATTTAGTACTTATTATTACCTAAATAATCACACCCAATATTTATTTTAAGGTTTATTTAAATTTTTTTTATTTATTAAGAATAGGCTTTTGCGCAGAATGCTCAAACATCGTACAAAGTATGCAATGTTTAATATTTAAATAAATAACAATTCAATAATTATATTAATACATAATATTATACTAACATGTTGAAAATTAAAATATATATATTTGCCATACATTCTTAGAACCAGCACCACATGAAATTGAGTAGCTAAAAGTTGAAATACACAATGTTTCATACTATTTTTTTTATAATACTATGTGTATTAATTTTTACAGAGACCAAGAGCTGCTGCAGAAATTTCACCCGTTAATGAATGTCGTAAGATGAAGGTTGAATTTGATCCTACTAGCAAAGTAATTATAATATATTTTTTATTTCATTTACTTTACTCTATTTAAGGTAAGTGTAAACCACTTGAGATGACAAAAGCTGTCATAGACACACATCCCTCCCCTGTAAATTAACTTCCACACCAAAAATTTATGGCAGGCTGACGTGATATGACAGCTATGCACAAAGATTACAACCAATGATGAAGTGTCTACTGGATTTGACAGTTCAACCTGTATGCGCAAAAATGGTTCACTATTAAATTCCAAATAGAGTATATACCTAACCTATTCATATAACAATGGATACTCATCCATTTGATTAATTATGCATAAAACACATTAATAATTTAATTGTCATTTAATTTTTATACATTTGTTTTAGGAGCTACCACCAAGCAAAACTGAATCAGCAAATAAATTTTGGTCCCTTGTTGAACCATATCTGAGTCATGTAGAGAAAGAAGATCTTAAAGTAAGAATATATTAACAATTTTTTTTTTTTTATAATCTTAATTTGAATGTATTATAATTTTCAGTGGTTAAGTGGTCTAGTTAAATCATATAACAGCGATAAAAAATTGTATGAAATACCACCTTTGGGTGAACATTATGCAAAGAATTGGGCTAAAGAAGAGTTAGAAATGCAAAAAAACCAATCATCATGTTCACCTCGTCCGCCTAAAAAACTTAAATTTTCTGAACGCATAGCCCCCGATGTTGTAGAACTTGTGGATAAAGCTAATTCTGCTATGTAAGTTGAATTTTGAATGTTAAATTGTTGGTGTATATAAAAAATATTTTAGTTAACATTTAATATAATATAACTTAAGATAACTTTAGTTAATTAATCATACATACTATTAGTTGTGCATAAAGGTATAGTATTCAAATTTCAAACTTCAACTGGTTCCCTATAATATAGAAAACTAGTATATAGAAATAAACTATGTAATAACGTTCATTGATGGTCATAAATCATTAAGTTACCAACTAAAATATATTAATAAGTTCTAATGAATCAAATCTACCTTAATATTTCTATTTAAAAAATATAGCTAAAATAAGTAAAAATGACTTGCAGTTATAAAAAATAATATTCCCGCTTTGAAAATTCTAAATTTATTTTAAAATTATTCTATAATATAACTTGTTATTACTAGGGTTTAGGATATATAGCATTTATAATCATCAAAATAAGTGCTGAAAAAGCTTTCAAATTTCTTAATTGAACGTGTTGTAACATGACATAAACTTCCATAGCACTCTTCTAGATTTTGTGTCAATCCATAAAAATAAGCAAAAACTACAAGTCCCGAGTCCTGGTTATCACTCATATTTAAATATTATCTAGTCATTATTTTTTTATTCACTTACTTGATTTTATATTCCTCATTCGTTTAATGTTTAATTACAAAATTATTAATACACAAAAAGAAGTTAGCCGTATTCTTTTTCTACACTAACATATCAAGTTAATTTGTTAAATAACACATAATTCATAGCAATAAATAATAGAATAATATTTTTCTTCTATATTTATGAATGAATAATTTTTTTAAAAATCATTTGTTTTTAAATGTAATTATTACTTCATGAACATCTCTATTTAACCTATGCACCCATAAATTGATGTTCAATATTATTGTTTGTTTTTATTTAATTATTATAGTAATGATGGTAATGCATACACACCAGTTTACCAAAGAGTTGTAACAGCTCTTATGGATCATTCAAATATGTCTTTAGAGGATGCTGAAGAACATTTTTCAGAATTTGATGGTAAATTATTTACTCTAATACTCTCTTATAAAAAGAATTCATAATAATTTTTTGAACTTATTTCAAGATGTTGAAGAAAAACCACAAGAAATGAGTAATGTTTGTAAGGAATTTTATGCAGAACAAAATGTTAAGAAACAATTGCATAAATTAGGGCTCATGGGTCGTAATTCTAAACCGGGACTATCACCAGAAGAAATGCTACCTTCTTTGACTATAGCTGATGAGGTATTTATAATCAAAATGTTTTTTTACTTTGTAATTTTATTTTTTTTTTATCCTTTCATTTTATACACACTTTTTACTTTAGGAAAATGATGAAGTTTTAGAAGAATTAAACAAGTGTGATAATGCTTTAAGTCAATTAAGAGAAATGAATAAGAATCACTTGACACATTTATTGGGAAAATGCCGTAAAGATTATTATCAACAAATTATAAAAAATAAAATCGAAAAAGTAAACAATGAGGTATGTTAAAAATATATGTACCTAATATTTGAATGTTAAATAACAGGTAGATGTTTGTTTTTAGATTTTAAATTTTAAAACACAACAAAATGAATCATGGACAAAGGAAAAAAAAATTGCTCAAGTGGCTGAAGAAGATGATGAACTGCATTTTTTATTAAACCAACGTGGCACTTTTCTAGCACAATTGCAATCAGTGTCAACTGAATCCAATAATTTCTTAAGCCCGTCTGTTTCAGATGATTCAGAATCTAGTGATGAAGATTGTGAACCATCTAATGTACATATTAAAACTGAACCATCTGAAAATGACACTGTCGTAAAAATGGAAATTCTATTAAATGATGAGTATCAGCCTGAAGAACATGTTGAAATTGATATTAAACATGAAATTGTTGATGAGATAATGGACTTTGAAGAAGCTAATGACCATGAGAAGGATATAGAATGTGATGAAAATGTTGGCAACACAGAAGTTAATACTGAAGAAGTAGAAAAGACTGTAAACGAAGAAAATGAAACAGAAAAGTGTGAGGAAGGCAAGGTAAACCAAGAGGACCAAACAGAGTTGCAAACTAATGTTAAGGTCAATCCACTGGTTAAAATTAAAGAAGAAGAAGGTAGTTGTTCAGAGAAATTGACTATTGAACGACGGCGTAAGAAGCCTAAAAAGGGTATCTCAGAGAGTGAAATGGCATCTAAAATTGAAGCAAGAAAACCAATTAAAATTAAACAGGAACCTGATTCTGATCTTGAATTAGATCCTTCGGAGGATATAATTGATGGCGTTAAAAGAGAACTTCGTCCTCGGAAGTTAAATGAGCCACATATTTATTTTGAGCCATATGATGGATCCACAAGTGAAGGGAGTGATTTTACTGATCTGTCAGATTGATATTAATGCCAAGCATGCAACAAGTTGTACACTGACAACTTAAGTATAGGTCTCACTATTTATAATAAAAAAAAAAATTTAAGTCTGATTAATTTTTCCATCTTTATAATTTGTTCCCATTAATATTATATTGTATCAAAGTATAAGATTAGCTATATGATTTAGTAATAATAATTACCTAATAAGAGATAGAAATGCAATGTTTTACTTTCAATTGTATCCCCATATCAGACAGACACAGAGATTGTTATGTATATCATCTAGATCTACGTGGTCTGTCAAGAATATTAGCCATTAATCATAATTTATATTTATACTCATTTTTTACTGTTTTTAAAACCGGCCAAGTACTCCAAGAATAAATTGTATTGGCTTAATCATTAACAAAATTATTTGCTTTTAAGTTTTATTCATTTATAAGTATTTATATTTAATATTTATGACACTAAATACTAAATCAAAAATGTATTAATATACCAAATTGCATTTTAAATTTAAATTTGTATACTTCATTCTTAATTTACATTATGCGGGTTCATTGTTAAGCAAAACATTATTTATATTTTTTTCTTGTAATAAATCAAGTTTAAAGAGGCTGTACAAATTGATACAAAAAAATAAAATATTTTAAAGCATTGTTTTGTAATATAATTACTAAAAGTAGTCAAGCATTCTTACTCTAGTCATGATTAAACTATCATGTACTTGGAAAAGATCAGATTTTTTTGGGAGTTGGTCAGTCAACATCTGCTATTTGACCCTCATCCCTTAATCCCTCATCAATTAAATTATCTGCATACCTACCACTTAATGAAGTCTTGTCCCTGTGAGCACATTGGTTATCGAGGTTCAAGAACTTTTCATAAGTTGAATATGGTACAAATAAATCGTTTCAAGTCACTATTGAAGTTTTTTGATTGAGAATGAAGGTGTTTTAAAAATGTGTTTCTGGTCAACCAAAATTCAAGTGATTTGAAACAACCGGTTTTCATTTTTTTTACCCATCAATTTTTGAACAATATTTTTTTTTTTATTAAGTATTACGTTAATTACATTGTTCTCAAATTTAAGGACTATCTGACAATGAATTTATTTTTATTATATCTGTGATTATTTTTAAGCTTAAAATAATATAAAAAATGTCGAAATCGTTTAAAATCACCCAGATTTAGGGTCCCTATAATAACTATTAATGGGTAGGCTATGTCTCTGTGCATGATTTAAATAGGTTGAATTATACATTTTTAAGAGTTAATATTTAAAACATCACATCCACAAAAAAAAATTTAATTTAGATAATATATTTTTTATTTTATTTCATTTTAACAAACAATGGACATTAACCGTGCCTATGAAATAAATATTTACGTATGTTTTACTTAAAATTAACAAAATAACATAGGCACACTATGACAAAATAGGGAATAAAATATTAAAATACCTCACACAATAACGAATGACTTACACATTATTAAATATTAATATTGATCGTATTCTTGTCCCTAAATATTATTTATATAATTAAAAGATTTAGTTCCTGAAAAATCAATTGTTTTTGGCCTAAACTTTCATGCACTCTGTACCATTGTGTTATTCACATGCAGTTTTGGTTAGTAACGCAAATTACAAATTACTGTAACTACTAACTGTAGAGTGTATGACAAAAACTAGGGTCTACAATATTCGAAAAAAATTTAAATCAATACAATTTTTTTATGAATCTGTTAGTTTTAAATATCCAAGGAATTAATACTAATTATACATTTTGTTCATTTATAACATAAACAATATGTACCTACATAATCAATGTTATACCTATAACGAAACAATTTACATAATAATTAATAGCATAAGTTCCTAGGTACTACTTATTAGTCGTTACTCGTTAATTGGTCGTTATGAACTGATTTCGTACTATTTTAAAAAAATGTATGAAAAAGTAACCTAAAGTGATGAAAATAATGTCGAGTAACGCGAATGTAATTTAGATAAAAATATTTAATGTAACATGTAACGTATTTTTAATACTTTTCAAAAGTAATTTACCCAACTCGGGTCATTTGGCCGATTGTAAACTCAGCTCCGCCAGAATACCGGTTAGATAAAAAAAGTAATGAAGAGGTCTAACGTAAACTTCGCCATTTTTATTCTCTTACCTGTAATGGATTTTAAGAAGCTTCACCAGTGCTTTTGTAAAACTTAATAATATATCTCAACTAAAGAAGCTCAAACATCCAAATTGATAGTGTTGGAGAACGTTATAAATAGTTATGATAATGGATTTATATTACACTGAGATGTCAAAATATCTACAAATTGTATCTCATAATTTTAGTTCGCAGTTCCACATATTATAACATAACATACCTAGGTTGTACCTATACATATTTTATGATTATTACAATTATTTCTTATGATAATAAATAAATACCTACACATGACAATTTGGATGATTTGTTCTGACGATTATTATTTTTTATTAATTTTTGTATATTTTTAGGATATATATTAATGTACATGATATATGTCGTATGTATTAATTTTATACTGTGACTTGATTTTTTTCACTGACAAAGTTTAGGTGAACTTAATTTTACCTGTTTTTTTCCTAGGGAGCTTACATTAAAAAAAGGTATTTGTGAGTTGTGGCGGATTTTACATGCGCCCCTCAGATGTTAGGTAGGTACTAATGACCGTCATTCATAGGGATTAAGCGTTTCCGACATACCTAACATCTGAGAGCCCTGCACGGCTGCACTGAACTAAATATTAAAATGTGCAAAAAATCACTGAAGTCATTATTTTTTCAAAAAACTATATGTAAAGAAAATGTCAATACAAATGGGAGCTGATCATTCAAGATTATTGTTTTACAGCAGTACACAATGATTGTCTCTCGAAGTAATGTTTTATCATATAGTATATACATTTGAACTGTGACATGGAATTTATGTAACCCTCGAAAATGGACACAAAACACCAATTATTTTTCCAATGGAGAATTTTTTATTGAAATTAGTTGACTTCATTAAGTCTTGACTAACTTAATCTGAAAATCCCGGCAAAGAAAAAAGTATAATATACTAGATAATAAAGTAACTATTATGGTCGTATTCGACATTTATCGATACGAATTCTTTCATAAATCATAATAAATGCTAAGTAGATCGGACTTAGAATGTTTATTACCTGTTACTATATTATTATTCATAAAACAAATTGGAGGGAAGGCACTTGTCCCCAGTGCCCCCCGCCAACGATACAGGTACGGAATTAAACCAGTATCTGAGTCATAGCAAAATATTGATACAAATAAACAATCCATTCGAAGGTTTTGTAAAAAATCTATTATTTATATGTAAAATGTGCATCAATAATAATCTAATAATCATTAGAATTTTATTGTCATACGTTGTCCAACTAACAAAGAGATCACTACCCAGCTATTATTTTTGTATATTAATATATTATGTTATTTGGTCTTGGTGTAAGCATAAAGCATTCGTCAGAACTTGGGTCTGGCATCGCACGATCTCCTTCCACGACTAAATACAAATAATAATTTATTCGTTTATATCAATTGTTGTATTCTACTACTTTTTTCAAACAATACGAAACGTTCTGCATGGATATAATTAAATAGCTCTAGTTGTGGACTGTGGTTAGTGGTTACCACTCATTAATATAATATCACAATACTTTTTTTTACTGTTCGAAAATGTTCTGAAGTAGTATATAAGTACTAGACTCGAGTTAATAAAATCATAGTGTAGGTACGTAGAATATCCCAAAGAAAACCATTAACTATTTCGTGTTTCCAAAATCACGAGAATTTGAGATTCTCTAATTCTTTAATTTTGAATGTTTAAAATTCAGTCTTTAAAAATTTGAACATTCGGTACCCATGATAATGAATAACCTACTACAGATTATACACCTGAAATCTCAAATGAACAATTTCCAAATAATCCAAATTTCCAAAACTTCAAAATTCAAAAATTTCCCAGAAAATTTTTTTAAAAATGCAAAATTTGAAGCTTGAGCAAGTCGAGCTTAGTAGTATTATATTGTTTGATATGTGGGCCGTTCCCGGTGGTACTGCAATACCGGGTCAACCCGCGGTGGAGCAGGAGCAAGCCCCAAAATCTCCACCAAATTTGAAAAAATTAGTTTAACATTTGAACCTTTCAATGAAAGGTGTATCAGATGTTAAGCTGATAAGAACAGATTTTAATTAAAAATTTTTATGGGGATACAAATTATGGGAGAATACAATATCATGGGGGGGGAAACATCAAACAAAGAGGAATATCAGCATAAATAAAAATCACTGAGAAGAATCACAAGTGACAAACAACAATAAATCGATAAAAATTACAAAAATTACAAAAAATTACAAAATATAAAAAAGACATGGAACTCACAGGCAAGTTCAGCATGGTATTAACTAGATAAATTAGAATAAAGTATATGAATATGAGACATGTGTATATATACAAAAAAGAAAAGAAAAAAGTTAAGGTTATTCGCGGACCTGCCGAACACCGGTCAGGTGCTCAATATACACGTCCCGTGAAGCCGCTATCGTATCGCTCACACACAGCTTGCGCATTAGTGTGGCGTACGAGCGACTACACAGGACCTTCATAAAAATATCATTACCTGGGTCCCATGACCCCAGGGCGCCTACAATGAACGGCATTACCAGCACCTCGCATCCGTGCTGGGCGGCTAACTCTGTTCGAAGATGCTCATATTTGGATTTTTTCTCCGCGGCGGCCGCCTCGAATGCCGCCAGGCGGTTGTCAAAAGGTACGGTGACGTCCACTATATAAATGTTTGGGCCCTTCTTCAGAACTAAATCCGGTCTCAAGCCCTGGTTGCCCACGACTTGATTCTCGGAGAGAACCTCAAACTTAGTGGACGCCGCCTTCTTGATTCTGGTGACAATCGCGTTATGCCTCGCCAAGTAGAGCGCGGTGTATCGCATACAGTGGTCGACGACGTGGGCTAGGCTTTCATTTATATACCCACACCGTCTACACCTACGATCACCGGCCCTCCAGGACGAGGAGCCATTTAACGGCACGAGGTTCAGTCTGGCGCGATGTACAAAACGCCAGTCCGCGAACCTCGTGAAGTCACCTTCCCTCAAGAAGTGGGCAGAAGCAGAGTGGGCGGCCACACATTCAACGGCTCTACCTTGATCGGGTTTAGCGATCAAGGCGTCGCTTCGTTTGAGCCGCAATGTGTCTCGGACCGTCCTCATGACCGCCCGCCTCTGCTTCTTACCCATTACCGTACCTTCGTGTGCAATCTCGGGAGCGCCCTCCAGCGACCACTTGACACCAAGCCGCTTGGAGGCGTTCCGCGCCCTTGACCACACACCGCTGACGCCCGTGCCCCGGGCCTCCCGGAACACACCCTCATCTACGCCGGACAAGTAGGAGGCGACCTCGTGGATGGACGGGTCCTTGGAGATCCTCCGCCTTGTGACATCCTCCACGTGTGCAGCTGCATCCTCAGCGACCCTCATGTCCGGTGACGTCAGCAACTTGAACCCACTGTCCACAGCGGCGATGTCTGCATCCTCCGCCAGGATCCTGACACCGCAGCATCCTCGCCTCGTGGACCCGTAAAGGTACTCCCCGGATGCCTCTTGGGGAAGGTACAGGGTCGCTTTTATCTCCGGTCGCATGATTCTGTCAACCCGTGCCCAATCTGATTTGTTGAAAACCCCCAACCGTTGCAGATGGACGGTCGAGGGATAGAAGAATGTCTTCAGTGCGTCAATCCGCTGCCACGGAGCGAGCTTGCTCCGCACGATCTTCAGGCCGATTTCGATTGTTTCGGCTAGCGTGGAGAGGGGCGGGATGACATTGAACCCGACCTGGGCGCCGAGGAAAGTTGCGGCTTCACCCTCCGCGAGTGGGCGTAGGGGGGAACCACTCAACATGAACTGCGTGTTCCGGGCCCCCACGGGCCGTCGACCGGAGAGGTGCAACGAAGCGCACTTCGCGGCGTTCAGCCGGAGCCCAAGCATACCCAGGCCGCTGTGGGCCGCGTCGATGGATGTTTGGAGCTCCCCCGGGCTGTCGGCGATCAGGCAGAGGTCGTCGGCGAACGCTAACACCCGGTGATCGGCAGAAGTGCCCTGCAAGCGGGCTACGACCGGGTCGATGGCCATAATGAATAATAACCCGCTCATTGGGCACCCCTGTTTAATGCCGGACCTCACCGGGATATTGCCGGTCATACCTCCGGCCACGCTGACCGAAGATGACGCTCCTGCGTAAACGTCCCGCACTATGTTGAG